CATTGTTCAGTGGTTAATAAAGAACTTAACTATAGAAGATCCAGGTAAATAAATCATTTTCCCATTGATTATTTTTGTGGTTTTTAAGAAATATGTTTCTACTTTGACAAGCGAACAAACCTGAGAACGTTATAATTACACTTAGCTATGATGGTAGCATTTATGCAGATTTAATGGTAATCAACATATATCTGTCTAAAATGTATTTAGTCTGTGTTGACCATTTTTTTACATATTTGACATTTTATTTTATAAAACTTGACTTGGGTGGCGTGGCGATTGTTAGAATGGAGGGATTATGTACCTGTTCATGTACCAGTGGTCGGCAAACTCACTAGTCAACAGAGCCAAATATCAACAGTACAACGATTGAAATTTCTTTTGAGAGCCAAATTTTTTAAACTTAACTATATAGGTAGGTACATTGTTATTACCTTAATTAAGGCCCTCCTAAGGCTTAGGAAGAGCCACACTCAAGGGGCCAAAGAGCCGCAGTTTGCCGACCACAGTCATGTACTATTGAGCATGGCATTTATAGCAAATGATCAGGAGGTAATGAGATTTCTCTTCATAAAACACATAAAAGTAAATCTCATTAATTTATAATGGTCTTAGCTCCATTTTTGCATGAGATCTGAGAATGTTGTTAGCGTCCATCATGCCCACGTGATTCTTTTTAATGCTCTTATTTAAATCGCGGATCCCTTCCCTGTGGTGGACAGTGTGTCTACTCTGCAGTTCTAATCTGATTTCCAGGGCATGGGAACAGCTCTGCATCGCCTGGGACAAATTCCTACGTATGTGAGGAATCCTTAATGCCTTTTAAATAGTATCTTGGAAGAGCCTTCGCAGGTGGCAAACAGCTCACTTCGCTGAAATGAAAATAAGATGTATTTGTTTACAAAAGATGCAGAGAAAACAAACAAAAGAACAACAACAAAAAATTGGGATGCTAGTGACTGAGATGGTCGTGGCAGAGAAAGATGGAAATACACTAACTACTCAACCCATCTTCCCCTTGATTAGAACAGAATTTGCTTGGTTTTTGCTCCTTCCTCTTAGTCCACCTTAGAACGCTCTGGAAGTAACAGCACATGGAGATGCAGACATTTTATTTTTCTTCGTTTTGAGCTGACTTTATAAAAGCCATGTTGTCATAAAGTGTAGCTCTCATTCTAAACGCCTATATGCATCCCCTGTTCCTTTGGTTCATGAGCTTTGAAAATACTGAACTTATCCTAGCAGGTTAAGTGGAATTAAAACAATTAAGTCAAGATGAAGCGGCCCTTGCCAGCATCATATTATTACGAGGTGAAAAGAGGTGATAATTATTGGGAAAGGAAGCCACAGTCGTACCAAGATGACGCTGTGGCCTCAGTTTAGTAGCATGCCTGACTTTATTATAAACTGTGGCACCAGCCGTAGCCGGTTTGGCTCAGTGGGTAGAGCGTCGGCCTGCTGACTGAAGGGTCCCAGGTTTGATTCCAGCCAGGGGCACATGCCCGAGTTGTGGGCTCAATCCCCAGTAGAGGGCATGCAGGAGGCAGCCAATCAGTGATTCTCTGTCATCGTTGATGTTTCTATTTCTCCCTCTCCTTTCCCCTCTGACCAGTAGGGGGCGTGCAGGAGGCAGCTGATCGATGTTTCTCTCTCGTCAATGTTTCTAACTCTCTATCCCTCTCCCTTCCTCTGTAAAAAACCAATAAAATGTATTTTAAAAAATAAAAATAAAATATAGCACCAGACGAAGGACCCCAGCACGCACACACACACACACACAACCAAAACCAAACTAAACAGGCACAATTATTGATAACCAACCAGGAGACTGATTTTCAAGGAATATTATTGCTCAAAGAATGAAGATGATTCAAAAGCATATTTTTTTTTGTAAGTTAAGATTGAAAGTGTACTTCAGTGACAGTATGAGAAGCAGGGAAAATATACAGATACAATAAGCGAATCAGAGACAATTATTGCTTATAATTTATCCATGAGATAGCATTATAGCCATAATGAGTATAAAACTGATTTTATTTGCTTGTTTGGCGGTTTACGGATGCTTTAGAGCTCCATTTGAAGGTACATAAAAAGACAGTCAGTCATGTCTGGGGGGCACCCTATCCTTTAGTCATCCTTATGACAGGCTGCAAAATTAATGTTTGTTTGTCTGGCTGTTTTACTTTTTAATGAGCTAATTTACCCTCTCCTGAGTGAAGAGTTCTATGCTAGATTTTTAAGAAAAGCAAGACGCACTGATGATTGTTCTGAAGATAGAACAGACTTGGCGCATAGAAAATGAATCCGTCTGGCAGCACGTTCTCAGGAAATGGGGCCAAGGACACAGGTGACATTCTGAAAGTCCCTCTCATGGTGGCATGGGTGAAACCAATCATACCATTTGGAACTGTTCCTACAGAGAGATTAAACCATTATTAGAAGGCCAGGTCTAATTTGAACCCTGTAAATTCTCTGAAAATATTTAAAAATAAGAGAGGAGCTGGGCCGTCGTGGCTCAGGGGTTGAGCATCGACCTAGGAACCAGGAGGTCATGGTTTGATTCCTGGTCAGAGCACGTGCCCGGGTTGCAGGCTCGATCCCCAGCGTGGGGCGCTTAGGAGGCAGCCGATCCATGATTCTCTCTCATCACTGATGTTTCTATCTCTTTCTCCCTCCCTCTCCCTTCCTCTCTGAAATCAATAAAAATATTTTTTTTTAAAGAAAGAAAGAAAATAGAGGGACTTTATTGTGGGCTTTGCTCTGGGAAAAATCCTTCCTAGTTTCCTATGACCCTCATAGCACAGAAGGGGCTTCGCTGTCGAAGAGAAGATGAAACGTCCCAGGATTACCCACCCATAGGTTCCAGGTCATTCGTTTTTCTCTAAGCAAAGGCCACGATGGATGCTAATCAGCTGCAGGGAAATGCTCTCAGTGTTCTGCAACAGCCTAAGAAGGTTGCTTTTATTCTGGGGGAAAAAAGAGTTTATGAGCAAATAGAAGCTCCTGTTGGAGACCAACCGTGATCTATCAGTTGAAATAAGCTCACCCTGGAAACGCAGCCACGCACAGCCAGGACGTAGCCAGAGTCTCACAGAAAGATAAATTCATCGGCTGGAAATGTATCCCAAGGCCTAAAATAATAGCATATTAAGTGAAATAACACCTGTCGGTGATGCTTTTTCCTTTCTGGGAGAGTTCCAAACATTTTCAAGCCATTAACAGGCATCCGGACACCCTGCCGATACCCTCTCTTGTTGAACAGGCTTCAAGGACAGGGCGCTGGCTTCCAGCTTAGAAAAGTAGCAGGTGCAGACACTTCTTTTCTGAAAGTTCAGGCAAAGTGTGTAGGCCAGCATTTTGGGAATCACAAGCGTCTGATGGCGAATAGTAGGAGATAAGACCAGCGGTTCTCAACCTGTGGGTCGCGACCCCTTTGGCGGTCGAACAACCCTTTCACAGGGGTCGCCTCAGACCATCCTCCATATCAGATATTTACCTGACGATTCATCACAGTAGCAACATGGCAGTGATGAAGTCGCCACGGAAATAATTTTATGGTTGGGTCACCACATGAGGAGCTGTATTTAAAGGGCCAGAAGGTTGAGAACCGCTGGATAAGACAAAGATGGTGGAGGTTTGGATCACACCATACCCTGCCTCGCTCTTCTGAGCTATTTCAACTCAGCCAGGTGTGCGACGGAAGGAGAATATCTTGTCCTTCCACAGTAGGTACATTCACCTGGTCTTGCATTTTTATAAACGTGCACCCTCGGTATTATTCATTGCTTCCCAGCTCTCCACGGCGCCAACAAATTTGATACATATGCCTAATTTGCCAGCAGATGTGCAGTGACAGCCGAATAAACTTTTGGTCACTGAGGCAGTCCCATAAACAGGAATAAACCATTGAAAACATGAAAGACTTTTTAATCTATTAACCTCACTTGCTTCTTTTTAAAAAAAAAATTTTTTTTCTTGATTTCACATTTCTGGAACTACTGTGAGGATCCTTGAGCTAAAGAACCACATTAGCTACTTGTCTAAGAAACATAAATAAATCCATAAATAAATTGCATATAAATATACACAAACATAAAGGAATCTCACTCTTTTGTATTTTCTGTATACATATGCACTTGTTAGAGTAAAACGTTTATTTTGCACAGTTTCATATTGCCCAGACGTCAAGTTAGCAAACTTATGCCATCCATGCACAAATACCACGATAGCTCTCCTTATCAAATTGGATTAATCCTTTGTTGGAAGCAGTTGTTGGCTACTGTAGACCAAGTATGACAGTTACAGTATTAATGTTCTGTTTTCCAGCCTGTTGGGAAAATAGAATGTTTTCATTGTCAAATAAGCCTCGTCCTCGTCCATGTCTAGAATACTGTGTAAATAAAATACCGTATATAGTAAAAGCTAGAACAGTTTGAACACTTACAGGACTGTCGGCTCACTTAGTGCAGGATAAGTGGTTTAACGTTCCCTGCTGAAATCACCATTAGTGACCCATTAGAATGATCACTGATAGTATTTGATATTTATGATATAAGCCAGGGGGTGATGCAAGTGGGAACACTTTTAAAAGTTTAAGGTGCTGCCCGGCTGGCGTGGCTCAGTGGTTGAGCATCAACCTAGGAACCAGGAGGTCACAGTTCGATTCCCGGTCAGGGCACCTGCCCCAGTTGCGGGCTTAATCCCTAGTAGGGGGCATGCAGGAGGCAGCTGATCAATGGTTCTCTCTCATCATTGATGTTTCTCTCTCTCCCTCTCCCTTCCTCTCTGAAACCAGTAAAATATATATTTAAAACAAACAAAGAAATAAAGAAATAAAATGAAAGTCTAAAGTGCTATTATATACCTGCAAATAGAATTGTTTGTGGGTGTGTGGGTCAACATGAACATAGAGCAAAACACGCCCCACCTATAAAATGAAGGAGTCGGATTCTGAGATTTCGGAAATCTCTCTCCGTTTCAGTATTCCATACCTTTGTGTTGTGTTCTTGTCATCACGGGGTGGGGTTCGCCCCTGCACAGTCACTGCCAGCAACCGGAGCTGTCTGCGTTCCTCCTGGGAAAGAGCTGAACGAAGACAAAAAGGTACAAAGCGAGGTTTTCTGGGTGCGAGAATGTGCTCAAAGGAAACATGACGGAGTGTCTCTCTCACATCGATGTTTCTCTCTCTGTCCCTCCTCCCCCTCCCTTCCACTCTCTCTGAAAATCGGTGGAAAAATGACCGCGGGTGAGGATTAACAACAACAACAACAGGAAACATGACAGAGCCCCGCACTTCTGCACATCAGTCATGTAAAAAGGTTTTCACGCCTTTCTGTTTGTTTCCGTGCCACAGTGGAGGCCCTCCATTTGGGAACGTTGATGGCTGCCCACGGCTACTTCTCTTTATCCTCTTTACACTTTAGCTTCTAAATTTACACGTTAGCTTCTAAATTTATGATACTCTGGCCCCCACCTGTGATCCAGAATCATCTCCAGTCCAAGCAAACTTTCATGGAATGGTTGTAGTTCCAGAGTATAATCTAGCTGATTATTCAAACCCTCTACATATGGGTCCCCTTGACCAGGAGTTTGACCAGGGGGTGGGTCCGGCCTGCCAACCACTTGCGACCCTCCCCCAATCAACACCCTCCCCCACCCAGATTGGGGGCAGGGCCGGCCGGACCCCACCCATGCACGAATTCATGCACCGGGCACCTAGTATTAAATATTAAATGGTAACAATTTTAATGGCCATCCACATTTGGAAATAGGATCTAAGTCTTTGTAAACCTAATAATCATCGAATCTTAAAACCCAGATTTTAAAAGAGAAAAGCGACAGAAGAGCCAGGAAAAACTGAATCCCTACTATGGTATCTACCAAGACATGGCTGTCCAGGTGTTCACTGCCATGTCAGGGGACGGCTCCAGGAAGCAGAAGGGTAGTTCCAGAGTATAATCTAGCTGATTATTCAAACCCTCTACATATGGGTCCCCTTGACCAGGAGTTTGACCAGGGGGTGGGTCCGGCCTGCCAACCACTTGCGACCCTCCCCCAATCAACACCCTCCCCCACCCAGATTGGGGGCAGGGCCGGCCGGACCCCACCCATGCACGAATTCATGCACCGGGCACCTAGTATTAAATATTAAATGGTAACAATTTTAATGGCCATCCACATTTGGAAATAGGATCTAAGCTGCCATGTCAGGGGACGGCTCCAGGAAGCAGAAGGCTCTGTATTACCTTGAACTGAAACTCAGCTCCGTGGAAGGATTTTAAAAATCCTGAATTAAAATGGAAAACTTGTAATATCATGTTTACAATTGTTCCCCTGAATGATTGAGATTCTAGCCATCATTACAAATCTGAAAAAAAAGCTTCAGGGCATGAGTTTGAGGCAAACAGAACCCTTCATTTCACTGGCATGCAAACAATATGTAAATCTGTGTCAATTTTCAGTACATTTTTAATCATGTCATTTTGTATTAATGTAAACTTGCAGTTGTCTAATTTTCATCTCGTCGCTAATTGGAATTGAGGTCTGACATGATTTTCCCGGCCTCTTTTATGACTGTCACTACATTAAAAATGTGCCCAAGATTATTGAGAAATGGCTGGACAGTTTTGGATCGGTTTGATCACAGCTAAAGGAGCCAGCACTCACATGAAAATGTCCTAACGTCTTTGCAGACTGTAAAAGCGTATTTTTTTTAAATTCTAGCAAACTACAAGGGTTTGCTAGTTATTCAATTGCCTTTTACTATAAATAAAAAAATTTTCCTAGGGAAAAAAATCTTACAATATTCGTGAAGAAGGCTGCTTTTATGACATTTCCACATAATATTAGGGAATAGAATAGTTTCATTCTTTTATTTTTATATTCAGGCAGTTTTTAATGATAAAAGAATAAAGAAAAATTGGAAGAATGCAGCAAGAAGACCTTGTGGTTTGCAAAAAATAAAAGAATATATCTGGCCAATCTAGCTAGAATAGGGACTTTAAAAGTTGAATAGATATTGTGTGTGTACACACACACACACACACACACACACACCTCCCCCCAAAATAAAGAAACAATCCGAAGGGAATAATGAACTCTAAGAGAAGTGACTCAAAACCCACATGAAAGCAAGATTTTCACCACTTTGTTTCCCAACGGTGTCCCCAGAATCTTTACCCAGTTGCATTTCTAAGAAATTAAATCCTCAAAATGCATCCCCCGCAGAGTCCAGTGGGATTCCGATGAGGAGGGGCCCGTGTAAAGCCTTCCTTTCCTCTATGTCTGATGGTTCAACCTGTTCCCCCTAAATTTCCACGGCCCCTTTGTCCTCACGTGTACAAAACTCTTTATCAGTAGCGTTCTCTATAATACCGCAGCGATTGCCAAGGAGCGGAGAGGAAATCAGAAAACCCCGGGGAGTCCTGACAGCTTGGGGTGCTCTCCTCCAAAACAAACAGTTCTCCTCAACACTCCCCTCCTGGAGATGCCTCTCCTAGAAGGTAGAAGTATCAGAGAGGCAATCTGAGATGGCACACATGTGCTGGTTACACATGGAGAGTTAATATAATCCTATATCATAAAAGCCTAATATGCTATGTGTTCAACCCTTCGACCAGTTGCTATGACGCGCACTGACCACCAGGTGGCAGACGCTCCTACTGGTAGTTTAGCTGCTGGGGTCCGGCCGATTAAGACTGGGCGAGATGAGCCAGACATGCCCTGGAGCCCTCCCACGGTCCCTCCCCAGCCCTGGTCGTGCACCCGTGGGGTCCCTCGGCCTGGCTTGTGCCCTCTCGCAATCTGGGACCCCTTGGAGGATGTCAAAGAGCTGGTTTTAGCCTGATCCCCGCAGGCCAGGCCAAGGGACCCCACCAGTGCACAAATCTGTGCACCAGGCCTCTCGTTGACCAGTAAGTAAGACCACGGGCTGATGTCCGCAGTCACTGTTCTGTGTGACCAATAAATAACCACGGGCTGATGTCCGCAGTCACTGTTCTGTTGGGTCCTGGTGTCACCATCATCTGAGAAAACAGAATTTGATAGACAGGTGGTCATTGATTTTCCTCATGGTCTGGAGCCAAGCACGTCCAGCTAGCAGAGCTAGACAAGCCCTTTTAGAAAATACAGTGTTGACCATGACAGTAGGGTCCTTCTGATCAGATGTTGTCTTTGTAGTTTCGTCAGTTTGTTTCTAGAATTTCACAGAATCAGACTTCTGTCTGTTGTGAATCATATCAATCAACTAAGATATTATGTTAAAAACATGATCTCTGGTGGGTGCCGTTTAGAGCAATACATGTCTGTATTAAGAAATGTTTTTTAAAGTGAGGGTGGGGGGAGTGGTTTTCATCCGGTTGGATACATTTAAGAGCTGTAGCATATAATTAATAAAACCCAGGCCAACGATGGCCAGACCGCAGGGAGAGAGTTTGACTCAGGATGGAGCTTGGGATCTGCCCATGGCCACGTTGAGGTACATGAGTCATAGAAAACAATCTGTGATATGGAAACGCGTTTTATCCCAAGTCATCCTCTGCTGTCAGTCTTTGTGGGATGCAAACGTTTTCTGTCGGTTGACGTAAAATTGCAGCACATGTGGGATATTTTGGGGGCTGAATCATTGCTCAGCAAAGGAAATGTAGAAGAAAAACCTCCCTGGTTTATAAACAGATCTTCGCTGGACTATTCTAGAATCTAGAGAACTGCTAAATATAAACGCCGCTCATAAACCAGTAACTCTGGCCATTACTTCCGTGTCTAACCTGGGTCCCCCTTCTTTTCATCCCTCAGACGCCCTACTTCTGGCCGTCTAATTGCTGGGAGCCGGAAAACACGGACTACGGTCAGTGCAATGTCTCCTTTTATGTGGGGCAGCCGTGTGGCTGCGTGAACATGTGCTCGCATGTTACTGCTCCTGTGATGGAGAAAAGAACCGACCTTTCTCAGGATGGGGCTCGTGATTCTAACACGGAGTTTACGAATGGCCGTGGTTTTTGGAAAGTTATACCAAACCCGGTGGCAGCTCTTTCCATGGACTAGTGTCCGCTGAGGCTGTTAAAGAAAAATAGATTTTCTTCTGAAGAGGGTAAAGGCCGATATGCAAGCTTTAAAGAAAGGCTCTTAGTATTTTTCCATCGCACGTTGGTCTGCTAGAAAGAGTTATTACAAAGGGGCTCAGAGGGCCAGAGTTCTAGCTCCCCTCTCCCTCCAGGCTGTGAGAATTGTGGTTAAGTCCATTGACTCTCTGAGGCTTAATTTTTCTCACTATTTTTAAAAAGTACATTTTTATTGATTTCAGAGAGGAAGGGAGAGGGAGAGAGAGAGAGAGAGAAACATTAATGATGCAAGAGAATCATGGATCGGCTGCCTCCTGCATGCCCCACACTGGGGATGGAGCCCGCCACCCGGGCATGTGCCCTGACCTGGAATCGAACCGTGACCTCCTGGTTCATAGGTCGGTGCTCCACCCGGGAGCCACACCAGCTGGGCTGATTGCACTGTTTCTCCAGCTGTTAACTATACCGAAACTGAGCCACACCAGCCAGGCTGAGTGCACTGTTTCTCCAGCTGTTAACTATACCGAATGTGCTATGCCACTGTATTTCCGTCATTGTCACGGAACAAATTCTGGCAGCCTGTACATTCTGTGACGGCCTGGGCTGTGCTTTGGTGTTAAGTGTGAGGTGTTGGGTTCTCATTACAGAAGCTTCTAGTTAGGCCAACAGATGCTTTTCTGAGCCTGCGGGGTCCCCTGCTGTTGCTCTCTGGTTTCTCGATAAAGCTTTGGCCTGCTCCCAGCTGTTGTAATAAAAGTGACCGTGATAACACATGGTACTCACAGGTCGCTGTGCTATTTGTCAAGTTCCAGTATTGTACCTCCAGCTGATGCCTGGAGCTTGCAAAGCCTTCCCAAACATACTTCTGTTTTAAAATAGACATTCTTATTGATTTCAGGGAGGAAGGGGGAGGGAGAAGGACTGGGAGAGAGAACTGGAAACATCCATGATGAGAGAGAATCACGGATCGGCTGCCTCCTGCACGCCCCACACTGGGGATGGAGCCCGAAACCTGGGCATGTGCCCTGAGCGGGAATCGAACCCTGACCTCCTGGTTCCCAGGTCGACGCTCAACCACTGAGCCACGCCGGCCGGGCCGTGTTTCTGTTTTAAATGTATTTTACCAGCTGGACAACAGTGTCTCTGCTTAGGTTGCAGGAGGATCTAGGATTTCTCGGCCCAACCGACTCTCTCAATTCTCAGTTCAAACCACCGGATGCAATACCTGGTCGCTAGCATTTGCCAAGAGTGACTTGTGGGAATTGGAATCACCAGGACACTATTTTAGCCTTGAATAAATTAATGAACAAATAAGCGCATTTTATTGAAGTCACATCCTACAGTGGAAAAACTGCATCCACTTTAACTTCTTAGTATATTGTGGCTAACCAATGCTTAAAGGAAGGTGTGCATTACCGAGAGGTTCTGAATGGAAACTGCTGTTCAGAACGTAAGAAGTGAAGCTATGCCCTGACCGGTTTGGCTCAGTGGATAGAGCGTCGGCCTGCGGACTGAAGGGTCCCAGGTTCGATTCCGGTCAAGGGCATGTACCTTGGTCGCGGGCACATCCCCAGTAGGGGGTGAGCAGGAGGCAGCTGATCGATGTTTCTCTCTCATCGATGTTTCTAACTCTCTATTCCCTCTCCCTTCCTCTCTGTAAAAAAAATCAATAAAATATATATATTTTTTAAAAAGAAGTGAAGTTATTGCTAAGGTTATCAAGCCAAATACCAATTTCTTAAAATCACATGTTCTTTTATTTGTGTGTTTTGGTTTTTCTAATTCTTCACTTTCTATTTATTGGTTCATTTTTTTTCCCCTAATTGTTGAAAGTATTACAGATGTCCCCTTGGTTGGTGTGTATGTTTTTCCCCAATGACCCCCCTCCACCCTGCACCCGCCCCTCCCAGCCTTCCCCACCCTGTGGGCGGTCCCCCATCCCCCCTCCTTCCCTCTGAAATAAGTCAGTCTGTTCCGTGCGCCTGTGTCTCTGGCTCTATTTTGTTCATCGGTTCATTTTGTTCATTAGCTTCCACCTGAGTGAGATCATGCAACACTTATCTTTCTCTGACTGGCTTATTGCGCTCAGCATGACGCTGTCCAGGTCCCTCCCTGCTGTCACATGTCCTTTGGATTCTGAAGTGACCGTCTTATAATCAGTCCTGACAAAGGAGCTGATCATCTGCCCCCTGTACCTCCATCTGCATGATGCGTTATGTTTCCAACAGGCTTTACGTGGAGTGTTTCCTTCACTGTTCACAGCCATGAAATCTGAAGGAAAAAAAGGACATTAAATTTCTCATTTCTCAGGAACGTGGCTCAGCGAGGGCCGATGCCTTTACTTACCTCACTGGGACCAGGCATCCGCTTACTGATTTGAGAATGATTCCTCCACTGTTCGTCTGCGGGAACTCTGGCTTTTACCCGTTGCAGGTTTTTCTTGGGTTGGTGGGAAAATTTGGCCTGAAATTTCTAAGAAAATTAATAAGTCAATACTTATTCCTTGTATTGATTTTAGAGGCTCCCTAGGCCTGGCCGGCAATGAGGGCCAACCAGTTGGGGGGTCCCCCACTGGTACATGCCTTGGCTGGCCTGTGGGAAGCTCCTGCCTTGAGCGTCTGCCCCCTGGTGGTCAGTGCGCATCATAGTGGCCGGTCGTTCCACCGGTCATTCCGCCGTTCGGTCAATTTGCATATTAGGCTTTTACGATATAGGATAGGATCATCTTAAGGAGGCGAATTCTAAGCCATTCACAGCCCTCAAGTGCTGCTCGGTCACCCATCACTTCCCCTCTCATCCTTTAAGGAATCCGGGAACCGTGCTGGGAACCTCTGGAGAAGATCCAAAAGAAAGGAAAGGATACAATCAATAATCAGGTCAAGTTTAAGTCTTAAACATTAAAAGTCAGCTGTTTAGAGGTCAACGAAACAGGTCCTTCACTGTGTTGGCAAAGTTCTGGCTCACCCCAGTCCTTTTTCTTTCTGCATCAATTAGGCTATTTTAATCCCCTCTCCTTGTATGGCCAGAGTGTCCTAGGCGCCTTATTTCAGCAAGAAGATGTATGAAACTGCTCTCAAGGTTGCCTTCCTTTCCGGATCTACCCTTGATTCCGTCTGAATATTTCTCTAACTGATTAGCTGTGTCCTTGACAACTTGTATCCTCAGCCCAGCCCAGACGTTGAGAGGAGGGAATTACGCATACGTTAGCCAGAGGGTCGACCTAGGAACCAGGAGGTCACGGTTCCATTCCCGGTCAAGGGCACATACCTGGGTTGCCGATTCAATCCCCCCAGTAGGGGGCGTGCAGGAGGCAGCCAATCTATGGTTCCCCCTCCTCACTGATGTTTCTCTCTCTCTCCCTCTTCCTTCCTCTCTGAAATCAATACAAATATATTTTTTAAAAGTTGTATAAACACTCAGTGCCTCTATCCCCCATCTGTAAGACAGACAGTAGCCTCTGTGGAGGGTTAACTGGCTAATTTATAAACAGTGCCTGGCCTCCAGCACATGCTAGATAATCATTAACTTATTCTTATTTTCAAGCTATTATTCATAGTATCATTATCTTCCAAAAAGAAGGGGCCTCCGAGGGCCCTCAGTCAGCCAGGAAACAGGCTTTTATTTGATTAAGTCCACTTCATGGCAGAGCTCAGGACAGGAGTGCAGGGTGGAGGCGGGGAGGGCAGGGAACCAAGATTCTGCAAACCAGCTTTTCTTGTGGGAAACAGGAGGGGTGAAGCCACGAGAGATGGAAACTTGGAGAAGAGGGACGTACACACACGTTAGCCACGTCTTTTATTTAAAATCAGCCTTTCCACCCGGCCGGCGTGGCTCAGTGGTTGAGCATCAACCTATGAACCGGGAGGTTGGGGTTTGATTCCCGGTTGCGGGCTCGATCCCCCGTGTGGGGCGTGCAGAAGGCAGCTGGTCGATGATCCTCTCTCATCATTGCTGTTTCTATCTCTCCCTCTCCCTTCCTCTCTGACATCAATAAAAATACATATTAAAAATAAGTAAATGAAATCAGGGTTTTTTTTCCCCTGGTTCCCTGGGCGCCGCCGTCACCTCCGGGGTAGATTAGGTATTGGGGTCACCATCCGGCAGACCCAGAGCTGTTTTCAGATTTGCCATCGCCTGGGATGTTCTGTGCTCAACTTTCAGAATCACCACGTGAGTCATACCAGCTTGCATTCCGTTTAGATCATAACAGGAACCAGGTGCATTAATTTGGAGCAAAACAGAATGTGTTTCAACCATCAGAGAGTGACTGTGTTGTGCTCTTGTCTATGCTATTATTATTTTTTTAAAATTGTGCTGCTACCCACTTTTTTTTAACAATCCATTTGCCTCATGTAAGCTTCAGTGATTTTTTGAAACTATATGTGTATTGATTTTAGAGAGAGGAAGGGAGAGGGTTAGACGCAGTGGTTCTCAACCTTCTGGCCCTTATTTAAATACAGCTCCTCATGTGGTGACCCAACCATAACATTATTTTCGTTGCTACTTCATCACTGTCATGTTGCTACTGTGATGAATCGTCAGGTAAATATCTGATATGCAGGATGGTCTTAGGCGACCCCTGTGAAAGGGTCATTCAACCTCCAAAGGGGTCGCGACCCACAGGTTC